GTAGGACACTGGCTATGAAAGATGATCTTGAGGGGATTCTTACGGTCTCCAGTTGCATCCACTGAGCTAGTCATTCAGGTGGAGCAGCAGGATTTATCCAGGTATGATGGATCCAGTTATCTATCCCTGTAACTTTTAAGGCTCTGGGAGTGGCTAGAGGAACAAGGTAGTGTCCCTTCCAGGTGGGTTTGAGGGGTGCCTTATGCCAATCCTTTGTCCATATGAGGTCTTCTGGCTTGTAGGAATGTACTGGATTACTTATGGGAAGGTGAAGCCTCTCTATTACTCACTGATGAAACTGAACTCTGGTATTAGCCAGAAGCTGCAGTTGAGTGTTGAATTGTAAGTTTCTCATTTCCCTGTGGTCCTTAAGGACTCTTATGAGGTGAAGGGGTCTCTCAAACAGAATCTCATAAGGTGAAAGCTTAATTCCTGCTCAGGGAGCGTATCTCACTCATAAGAGAGCTATAGGCAGTACTAAGTCCAGGAATTGGAACTCCTGACAAGAAATCAGAGCTAGTTTTAGAACCCAATTCATATGTTCTGCTTTCCCTGATCTCTTAGGCTGGTAAGCCATATGTAAATTCCATTTCAGTTGTAGGGCCTCAACAGTGGAGGACAGCAACAGCTTCTCAGTCCCAAACTGCTTCTAAGATATGTAAAATTTAAGTTTGATTTTTTTTATTGCTTTTCCTCCTGCAGTGAATAGCTCCCTTTCCTTGTGGATGACTCCATGCATAAAGAGGGTGGCAAAGGCATATCTTTAGTCTATATAAATTCTTACCCTTTGTCCTTTGCTTCCTTTCAGGGCCTGATTAGGGATAACAGATTTGCTTGTTGAGCTGACCATCCCATAGGGAAGATGTCTGACTTTATTCAGTCTCTGTCACCACTGCCAGACACTTTATCTTTAAGGGGAAGCTGCCACTGTCAGTGTAGAGGGGTGCTATCCAGGGAGGGCAGAGGCTGATTTGTGAGATTTGGGTAACTGGAATAAATCTCATCTGTCATGCAATGCCATCATGGTCTGGGGTTCTTGATTCAGGAGGCATGAAGGTGACTGGATTTAGTGTTCTAACCGTCTCCAGGTGAGCTTAGAGATTCTCACAGAAGAGACTCTGGTAGTGGCTCATTCATGGGTTTGTAAGCCAATGGTGCCCTCTATGCTCCATTAGGATTGTGACTGCATGTGGTACCTTGATATTTAGACTTTGTCCCATAGCTAGTTTGTCTGCCTTCTCAGCTTCTCAGTATGATGGCAGCCAGGACCCACAGACAGGGTAGCCATCTGGGAGTAGCCAGTTAGGGATCTTCTTCTAAGAGGGCATTTCTGACCCATGCCTCTGCATTCAATTCTTCTGGTGGGAGCTGAGTCATCATTTCTGAGCCTTAATCATTACTCGTCATCATCATTGTTCCTCCATATTAAGGAGGGTTAGGAGGAGCTGGCAGCTGTTGCTCTAGGTGGGAAGATGAGTTTGACAAATATATTCCACTAGGCCTGTTATAGTCTGTGGTTTCTCAGAGTATGAGGGGGTGTGGTGTTTCCAATTAAGCAAGTCTGTGGTAGAGAAGGGTTGGTAGTAGAAAACAGGCTTCCCTTCCTCTTTGCTTCCATCTGACACCACATGCTGGGGCCCTCTAGTCTTGGAGTGGCATCTGGAGGATGGGTAGCTGCCTCTGGACTGAACAGAGATGTTTTCCCACCTGTTCTGGCTCCTCAGACCTCAGAGGAGATACTGATTTCAGAGGAGGGAAGGTGGTGTCCACTATAGATAGAGAAGCATAGTCTTCAAGCCTTGGGGGAGATACAAACGGTGGTGGACTGTCTGGCAAAGGAGGGACCTCTGACTTAGATGAAGAAGCATAAGACGGCAGTGGCAGTGAGGGCTCATCTGGGTCTCCCTGGAAGACTGGTAGAGTCTTGGTAGAGCCTTCGTTTTTTTATGGAGTCCTGGCAAGCAGAATCCTAGTATGTCCCTGTCTACAGTGCAGCATCTTACCCAGGGCAGCTAGTCAGGACAGTGCAATGTGTATTCAGGAATCTACATATGGGAATTGTCTAGAGGTCCCTGTCTACAGTGCACCATCTTACCCAGGGCGGCTAGTCAAGATAGTGCAATATACAGTCAGGAATCTATATGGGAAATTGTCTAGAGATCCTAAATCTCCAGTTATCACCTAGCACACTGCCTTAACCTTAGTTATATCCAAAGTTCCTTCAGGGGTCATTCAACATGAAGATTTGGCCATTCTATTTCACAGGAGTCCTCAATTTTCCTGGCATCATCTTAGTACCACAATCTCCTGAATATCCCGTCCTGAAATTTTTGATCATATAATCTAGGACAGTGCATTTTGAGTGAGATTCTCCCATGTTGCACCTTCTGTTGTGCCAGTGTCACAGAAAAAAGACAAGGACCTTCAGAACAGCCATTGCCTGGAACTTCCTTCACCCCACCTGGCTGTACCCCTAGTAGGGAATTAGACTCCTCTTGCCATATAACAGGTTCATATAGTGTCCTGAACATGGATCTGACTTGCAGCGATGGATGGGATCCCCCAGAGTCAGACACTACCTTATAGTCTTATGAGGTAGTCACAGAATCACGGGTTTGGGGTCCAAACAGACTCTGTAGCTGGAGAGCCACGGAGGCATATATGCACACACACAGTAGACATACCCTCATACAAGGCTCCAGACAGAAACCTCCCTATGAAGCATTCCTACCTGAAGCAATTATGAGTTTGCCAGGGTTTAAGCTCGTCTTCCACTGGGGTGGTGTGCCTATCTACCAAGGTGCCCAGGGAAGCTTACTGGTTCCTGAAGTCATGACTGATTCCTCCAGTTCCCTTTCAGATCTCTTGAGTGAAGCATGGTTGGAAGGCTCAGGCCACAGCCTGTGGTGTCTTGGCTCCCGAACAAGTATCCAGACAATACTTCCTGGTTCTCCCTGAGGAGCTCCCAGCTTCACAAAGGTTCACAGCTGGCAGTGGTTTCAAAGGGCCAGCCTGATCTGAAAGCACTGAGTGGTGGTGGGGTTTCCAGGTCAGGGAACAACGTGTGATTGGAAAAACTGCATTGGGAGCTGCAACTTTCAAAGCAGACACCAGGGACGAAGTGGGAAGTAACAGCTTTTATTCCTGATCCTGCTGGTAGTAGGCCCAGGGGCGTAAGCTCCAAAGTCTGAGCCTAGGTAGTACATTCTTTACAATATTTATAGATAATTCAACATCATCCCAAACCTACTCCAGCATTGCTGGGCACTGGGATTATGGGGCCTTCCAGCATACATGATTGTAAGCCATGTATGGGGGTCTACATGACCTGGGGCCATGCACAGAGGTCTCTACCATATGGATCATAAAGGAGGTGGGGCTGAGTTGGAATTCTAATCAGGGAAGAATATTTACAGAAACAAAAGCAAGGGTTATCCACCTGTTTTCTCATGCCAGCAGGGTCTTGTTTTCTTAGGTAAACTTTGTTTTCTCAGGCTAGCTGCTCTGGGTTTTTTCTCAATTAATTTGTTTTTTCTTTCTTAATTGATTTTAGTTCTCCTCTTCAGATGTATCACCTAAACCTCCACAAACAGCGCCACCAAATATTTGGATACACCACGTTACCTTTTGGACCCAGAATAAGAGACTGGAGTATGGTCATTCTAGCTATGTGATGTTCATAGTATGAGCGTACTATAACTTATTTAAACATTGTTCTATCAATGGGAACTTAGGACCTTTGTTCAAAATTCTTACAAGTCCAAAGAATGCTTTGACAAGCTTTTTGCACATATATATTACCGTACATCTATGAGCACACGCAAGTGGCATGATGATGTGGGATACCAAATTTTTTTTTTACCTCCATTTTCCTAGAACTGATGACTAAAGTTTACAGTTGTGAAAAAAACTTCGAGATAGTTCAAGATTATCTTCCATTATAAGAGAAGAGGGCAATGCATTTAGGATCAACCACCTCACTGTATCTTCCTTACCAAAAACATGGAGTTACCTTTTGAGAGGTTCTTCCATGTTGAGAAGGATCCAGAGGCAAGCACCTCAAGTGTACAGTCTGTGGGTATCTATGAAGAGTAGACAGTAACAGCTTCTTCCAAGTAGGGTATTTCTAGAGCCACCAGGAGCCACCAGGCTTGCAGATATTCCCCAGTACTCTCCAGGTAGCAAATTCAGAAGACAAAGTCAGTGCCAGAAGAGGGCCATGTGGCAAACAAATGGTTCATCCAAATGTTTGATTTTCATTGTTGCTAAAATTATCCCCCACAAAGCTATTCAAATTTGTATTCCACTTTCAATGCTATTTTTTTCTTTCTTTCTTTATTTTATGTGTATGAGTGTTTTGCCTGTGTATATATAACTGCATCCATGCATGCAAGCCCATGCAGGACAGAGTTAGGCATCAGAAACCCTGGAACTGGAGTTACTGGAGGTTGTTAGCCACCATGTGGGTGCTGGGGACTGAACCCGGGTCCTCTTCAAGGCCAGCCAGTGCTCTTAACTGCTCCAGCTCCTTGATGGTATTTTCTTAAATACACATCAACACTATATGTTTTTCATTTTTGTTAATTTAATTTTCGTAATATAATTAAAAGGTGCCATCTATTATTGCTTAAATTTTTATGTCTTCTTTACAGAATTTAGTATTTTTGCCCTTTGGCCATTTTCAACTGGAATATTTATCTTTTGTCTTAATGATTTTCAAGAGGTTTATCTATGAAGACCATTGATCATCTTCTGTCATGAACTTGCAAACTTCGCTCCTCATGTGGAGCTTGCATTTTAATTCTGATTAAGATGCATGCAACACACAACAGTTTTATATTTTTGTTATAAAATTCTTGTTCTTGTGTGATTTCAATTCTTCAGATGCTTTGCAAGTCCTTTCCCATCTCTGAAGTGTTATTCACAGATGTAAAGTTAGCGGGAAAACTAAAGCCATTGGGCTATCCTATAGCCCAGCATGCTGTTGTGTTCTTGAGGAATTAGGACTTGGCTCCACAAGTTACTCTCCTGAGAGCAGCTTTCACATCCTTATTCCTCAGGGTATAGATGAGTGGATATAGCATTGGGGTCACTGCTGCATAAAATATTGAGACAACTTTGTCCCCATCAAGGGACCTTTTGCTCTGTGGTCTCACATAAATGTGTATTAGTGTCCCAAAGTAGATAGCAACCACGATCAAGTGATAGCCACATGTGGAAAAGGCTTTAAGCCTGGCCTCAGTTGGATGAATTCTTAAGATAGCCCTGAGGATACAGAGGTAAGAGATAAGAATGAAAATTAAAGGTACTGGCATTGAAATGACAGCGCATGCCATCATCATAATCTCTAGGGAAATGGCATTGGAACAGAGCAATTTGAAGATAGCCTGAACCTCACAAGAGAAGTGATTGATTGCATTATGCCCACAAAAACTGATTGGAAAGAGTAGAATGGGCAGAACAATGAGAAGGAGAGCTGCCGTCCAAGCAACTAAAGCCATGAAAATGCGTACTCGAGAAGACATGACCAGGTTATACCTCAGTGGATTTGAAATAGCCACAAATCGGTCATAAGCCATAAGGGCAAGAAGAAAACATTCAGCCAGTGCCAAGAAGGCTCTGATAGCAAGCTGGGCAAAACAGGAGCTGTAGGAGATAGTGGAGAAGTTCTGCAATGAGTTTACCGTGATCAAGGGTACAGCACTGGTGGAAAACAAAAGATCCAGTAAAGACAGGTTACCAAGAAAAAAATACATTGGGGTGTGTAGTTGAGAGTTGCTGCCTACCAGGAAAATGACCAGGCTGTTTTCTGCCAAAGTGACTGTGTAAAGAAACATCAGTGTCCAGAAGACAACACTCTGGGATATGGGATGCCTAGAAAGTCCCAAAAGAATGAATTCAGTCACTCTGGTATGATTTCCAATCTCCTGGTAATTCATTTCCTTTATACACAGCTACAAAAGGGGAGAGAAAGCAGAAGAGTCATTTCTTTGTCAACAGAGAATGTGTTTATTATACTACCATTTCAGTTAAAGCGCAGCAACCCTTGACAATGGTTCATCTTTAAAGTTTTCAGCCCCCAAACCGCCAGAAGTTTCAGTAGTCCACTCCCATCCCCACATCCTTGCTGGGAAAATAAAAAGGCAATCCTTTAGTAAAAAGGGTTGACTCTCAGACTTGTACGAAGACAAGTATTAAGGAAGAAATACCAGAAGATCCGCCAAACTTTCTGGACAATAGTCTTCCCATGAATTTCCACTCCATAAACTTAAATGAGGCCTGACCATAGATATAAACCAAACAGCTCTGTCATTTCAGGGCTGAGATGGCAGTATGGTAGCACAGGGTAAAGAAGAGGCAATGGAGAAATGGAAGATTAACAGATAAGAATATTTAGGGCTATTGCAGGCATGGTAAGGACTGCCCTACTTGATACCTCTGCTGTCTTCAGACTTTCTGTGTGTGGGAAGAAACATGACGCTGGCATGGCAGAAAAGCTCCACTCTGGATTTTGTTGCAGTTTTTAGCTGACAAGACCTAGGTTGATATCCATTACATCAAAATGATGAGATGTAACATTTTGATAATTTTCTCAACTTTTATCTTAAAGCAGTAATGACAGAATAAACAGATATAGACAGATTTTCATATGCTTAAGAATTGTAGGATTCTGGGGCTGGAGAGATGGCTCAGTGGTTAAGAGCACCAACTGCTCTTTCAGAGGACCTGGGTTTGATTCCCAGCATCCACATGGAGGCTACAAACCGTTCTTAACTCCAGTTCCAGGGGAATCTGACGCCCTCTCTGACCTTCGCAACATTGCACAACACGGGTGCACTCACATACATACAGGCAATACACTCATACACAAAAAATAAAAATAATAAAATATTTAAAGAAAAGAATTGTAGGATTCCAATATCAGAATGTAGGAGAAAAGCACTTACCTTAGTCCTAAATCAGCCTGCCCCTTCACTTTATCTGTGCCCCCCAAATCTTCAAACAGTTGACTTTTTTTTAATAGAAAAGGGTCCTTCTTGCCACTTCAGGACAGATTAACCAAATCTATGTCATGTGACTCCAGTTTCTCACATTTCTCCAACTTCTTCCCTGCCTTGTGGCATTGGATGCTCTGAGTAGTGAGAGATCCTGGAGGAAGTGTCCATGTCTTCCCCAGGCCCCAGCAAACAGCCTGTACAAACCAGGAGTGCACAGTGGAGGTGGAAAAGAGATGGAACTTTTCTGCAAGGCATTCCAGGAAGTAATTGTCAACATATCACATTCGTTTGCAATGATCCCAGTTACAGAACTGACAAGTGAGAGGACTGAGGCTAGTTTGAGCTAAGTCCTCAAAAACCTGCCAAAGCCTGTCACTAGTTCAGTAGACCTCAACCATTTTTGCTTATCTCCTGTCAAAAGAATTTTAGAAAACTATTCCCACACAGACATTTAAACCAATATCTGAAATGTAAGTTTAAGTAGTTGCAAGGATATAATTTCTTGCTTACTGCAAATTCTCATCATTTAAAATTTTCCCTGCATTAAGATTCCTCAGAAAGACTTTGTTTATCCTCAGCAATGTGGACAGCTGTGTTTGAACAACACCAAGACCAGTCAGCATGTCAAAGGCCACTGGCAGGAATAGTCCATGGTGAGCTTCTGGTGAAAAGGCTGCTGCTATGGTTCTCATCCCATAGCAGGTCAGTAATCCTGGAAGGTGATTACTTCTTGCCATCTGCAATAACTCCAACCTCACACAGAAGTGCTCATAACCCTCCCCCTATCAAATCATGACATATTTTCCCAAATTCAATAATGCTTTAGAGGGCCATGAAGACTTCACTTACCTAAATGATGGATCTGATTCTCTTGGAAGATAACTGTTGTCTCTGTAGTAGAAAATGAACATGGAGACACAGATGAGGATTTCTTGTTTCCCAGGGGCATAGGCTAAATTTCACTCTTTCCATAACTATTAACATTTCTCAATAAGTTGGTCCCAAGATTCTAAGGTCCACATGGGACATGCACAAGGGACATCTCTCTAGACACAAGTTTTCCAAGAACTTCAGAGACCTGGACTGTGCCAAGACAATCATATGAATCCAAGTTGTCCTATACTCTACTCCATGCAACCCCATTGCCTACAGTTCAGGGCTGCAGTGAAGCCAGGTTAGGTAATATTCAAGTCTAGTCCTCTTGGTACAATTGGTCAACCATACTTGGAAAATACCCAGCTACATTTACACTCTAGAAAAAGAGACTTTCTGTCATGTGACGCACAATGTGGCCCAGGAACACGACCATAACGTCCCAATCTGCAATTAGACAAAATGGAAGAGTTGGCTTAGAGGTTGATTCTTCTGGCCTTATTAGACAGATCAAGATTTAGGCAATACAGAAGGATCTTGGTGGGAAAAGCCTCGGAAGAAACAATTAGAAGTATATGCCAACTATAACGATGAAGTTATGAGTCTCCTCTGTGGGCAGCCATGGTAGTTAATGTAGTCCCTAGTGGAGTAAAGACATCGATTCTGTGAGCCAAAGAATCACAACAAATAACAAGTTCATACAACAATTTCACAGCCCAATGCATGGGATTTCTGTGCCTCAGGTCCAAAGCCACATTTCAGGACTCCTATAATCAGTGATTCTTGTCCAGACTAATGAAATATTACACAGATTCTGTGGTGTGAGGGAGGCAGAACCAAGAAGAGTTCACAGGTGCATAAGAAACTAAATACAGGCACTTGAAGCACACATTAAGAATTGAGCACTGGGGCTGGAGAGATGGCTCAGCGGTTAAGTACACTTGCTGCTCCTTCAGAGGATGTTAGTTCAGTCTCCAGCATCCATGTCGAGCAGTTCACAACCGTCTGTAACTCCAGTTCCAGGGGATCCAACATCTTCTTTTCATTTTCCATGGGCACTGCACACACGTTACACATGCATACAAACATTCATATATATAAAATAAAAAATTTTAAAAATATTTTAGCATTAAGCATTGTAATTAAGCCTATTTGAATCTGGCACATCATGTCCTATTTCAGCACAATTTATTATGTTTGTGAATAAGTTACAAATGTAGAAATTATTTCATTTTTAAGTTATGAAAAAAATTACCTTAAAACACCCTTCTTTGACCTGGAGAGATGAGTTAGTGGTTAAGAGCACTGGGTGCTCTTGCAGAGGCACCCAGACTCAGTTCCCAGCACCTACATGGTGGCTAACAACTGTCTGTAACTCCAGTTCCAAGGGGTCCAACACCCACTTCTGGCCTCCTTGGGCATTGCATGTATGTGGTGTACTACATACATGCAGACGATATACTCATACACATAAAAATAAAAAATAAAAATCTTTAAAAAAACCTTCTTTTGTGTATGTGTGTGTGTTCATATGTATATATGTGCACCCACCCTTGGGAGCATGTGCATGCATCTGAAGGCCAGACAATGTCAGGTATCTCCTTCAATCACTCTTCATCTTATTTTTAAGACAGGATCTCTTATTGAACCTGATGTTCATAAAAGACCCTTCTTTTCACTCTTCCGAGAATTTCTTAAATGAGTACCTATCTCAGTAGTTCCTCTAATATTCCACAACCACATTACAATCAGGCTTTTATTCTGACCACACCGTCACAACTGCCATCACCATGATCTGCAATGTCCTCTACCGAGAAGTCTGCCTTCAAGCCTATGCACTCATCTAGCTCACCTATCAGCAGCATTTGACTGTGGATCACACCCTTTTCCTTTCTTCCCTGAAGGAACCATATATCGAATGCTTTTGGTTTCCTCCCACTTTGTTAGACACTGTCTTCTCTGCTGGCTCTCCTCTTTGTCCCCACATCAATTCGGGGATTAGTCCACAGTGGTTCTCCTCTATAGCTTTTCTACTCCCCCAACTTCATGGCTTGGAATACTGTTTGCATTCTGATAATCCCAAAATTTAGATCTCCATCCCTAAGCTCCTAACTCACCTGTCTAACTACTTGCTCAAACATCTGTACTTGATGTCTAATAGCCACCTTGATTTCAACATGGCCAATCAAATTATTTTTTAAAACTACTAGTACATAGTAAGTATTAATTGTTCATATTAATGGCTTTCACTGTGACATCTTCATACATGCATGTATCATGCCTTTGATCATATCCACACTCCTAAATATTCTCTCTTGTCCTCCTCTCTCTTTCTGTCTCCTCACTCTTCCCTAGGAGTCCCTCTACTACTTTCCCACTCTTTATTTTTGTTTCTTTGTTTTATTTTATTTAGGTTTCCCTAGCTGGTAGTCTTCAGTTAAGCTGATGATCCTCACTGCTATATATTTTATTTATTTAAATTTTTTTTGATTTATTTATTTTTATTTTATGTGTATGAGTATATTGCCTGCATGTATGTAAGTGCACCCATATTTTGCAAAGCCCATGGAGGCCAGAAGAGGGTATCGGATCCCCTGGAGTTACAAGTGGTTGTTAGCTGCCATGTGGATGCTGGGAATAGAACCTGGGTCCTCTGCAAGAGCAGCCAGTGCTCTTAACCACTGAGTCATCTCTGTAGCCCCCTCACTGCTATTTAGATAGGAGAAACAGATAGCAGGAACAATTATTTAACCAGAAAATCGGTAGTAAATTGCAATAAAAAGCAATTGTGAACTTCAATTGCATCTATCCCAAATATGGCTGAGAAACAAATGAGTTATAATACTCCTAGGATAAATGACATTTAAATATTATTAAAGCTAAAGAAAAAAAATATGAGAAGTAAAAAGAGGACGGAATGGGGAAAAGGGAAGAGAGGAAGTAAAATAGGTATATGGGTTGAAGGTTCAAGAAATACACTGAAGCCTGGGGCCAGCTAGGAGAGAAACTTGTCTTCCAGAAAGAGATTTGAAAGTCAGTAAGTCCATTTTGCCAGAGAGACTGGAGCCAGACAGTGACCACTCAGTGACACAGCAGGATTGCACCTTGACTGGGACTGATTAGCTGTGAATATCTCTGGTTCTCTACTTAAACCTAAACCTCATGCTGAGAACCTGAAGATAAACTTGAGAGGTCACTGGACCTCTTTCCTCTTCCCAATTTGACCACATGGCTCGTCTAACTGGCTTATTAAAGAAGGATGGCCAAGCTTGCCTTGTTAGTGTTACCAGAACTCAGGCTCTACTGCTTTGTTCAGTGTTCGAAGTTCGAGGTCACTTGGTTCTTTTGTATTTCTTGATTTTCTTTTAGTCTCTCAGTACCTGCTGTTTACTTTCTTTCCTCTTTCTGTAGTCATGGATCTGATGTTTTCTTTTATTTCATTGGTTCATATGTTTGTCTCTATACCAATTCCATGCTACTTTTAAAATATGATTCTGTAGCATAATTTAAAATCAGTTATTGGAATGTCTACCACATTACTGTTTCTTAAGGATTGCTTCAGCTATTTAGGATTTTTTTAGCTTTGTAAAGAATGTCATTGGTGCTTTTATGGGATTGCATTGAGTCTGTAGACTGCTTTTAGTAATATAGACTTTTCACAAGATTAATTCTGCCAATCTATGAGCACTGAAGTCTTTCCATCTAATGTCTTCAATTTCATTCCACATTATATATAATTTTGATTATAGAGTTCTTTCATTTCCTTGGTTAAGTTTATTTCTAGGCATTCTTTTTTTCTGCAGTGCTGGAGACTGAACCCAAGTCTTCATATGTGCTAAGCAAGAGTTCTACCAATGAGCTACATCTCCAACCCATTCATTTGTTTTCAGTGGGGAGGAAAGGTTCTTATTTGTTTGAGCTATGGTGAATAGAATGATTTCCTGATTTCTTTTCTGTCATTTCATTATTGGTGTATAGAAAAACTACTGATTTTTATATGTTGATTTTGTATACTGTTTCTTTGCTGAAGGTATTTATCAGGCCTAAGAGTCTTCTGATGATCTTTTTTGAGTATTGTAAGTGTAGAATCATGTCATCTGCAAATAGGGGTAATTTGACTTCTTTTCCCATTTTTTTCCTTTTTATTTCTTTTGTTTCTCTTGCCTGATCACTTCGGCTGAAATGCAAATATATTGCCTAATAATAAGAATGGATACCTTGTCTCATTCCTAATTTTAACATAAACACTCATTTTTTTCCCCTTTGAGTGTAACACTGTCCATGGGTTTGTTGTATATAGCCTTATGTTGACAAATGATCTTTTATTTTTTAATGTTTTCTTATTTTTTATTTTATGTGTATGAGTGTATTGCCTGCATGTATGTAAGTGCACTTATGCCATGCAATGCCCACAGAGGTCAGAAGAGGGTGTCAGATCCCCTGGAACTGGAGTTACAGACAGTTACTAGCCGCCATGTGGGTGCTGGGAATTGAACCTGCATCCTCTGCAAGAGCAGTCAGTGCTCTTAACCACTGAGCCCCAACAAATGATCTTTTAAAAGATTTTTATCACAAGGGAATGTTGAATTTTGTCAAAAGCATTATCTGTGTGTATTGAAATGGTGTGTGTGTGTGCATTGAATTTACTGATTTGCATATGTTGAGCCATCCTTGCATCATTGGAATGAAGCCAACTTGATCATAGCATGTGATGTTTTTAATGCGCTGTCAAATTTTGTTTATGAGTATGCTATTGACTTCTGCATCTTGGTTTGGATATCACTTTAATTCTGGATAAATAGAAAGAATTTAGAAGTGTTCCATTCATTTCTATTTTATAAAAATAGTTTGAGGAGCATTGACATTAGTTCTTCTTTAAACTTATGGTAAAAATGAGCAGTGAATCCATCTGATCCTGGGATTTTCTTTGTTGGAGACTGCTACTGCTTCAATCTCTTTGATTGTTATGGATCTGATTAGGTATTTTATATCTTCTTGGTTCAACTTTGGAAGGTCAAAAGTGTCTGGAAATTTATCTATTTCTTCTAAGTTTGTCAATCAGAATATAAGTTTTCAAAATATTATATAATCAAACATCCTATATATTTCAGTAGTATCTCTTTTAATATTGATCTTTGCCTCTTAATTATGCGTAGGTCTCGCTCTCTCTCGGCTAGTTTAGCTAAAGGTTCATAAACTTTATTTTCTCAAAGATCTAACTCTTTGTCTCATTTATTCTTTTTATTGTTCTTTTGTTTCATACTTCATTAATTTCTGCTCTGATTGTAAGTATTTCATTCCTTTTATGGATTGGGACTTGGCTTCTTCTTGGTTTTCTAAGACCTTGTGATAAATCATTAGGTTATTTATTAGAGATCTGTTTTTTTTAAATACTGGTTTTTTTTGTAGGTAAGAAACATTTTTAAACAATATGTCAAATATATCAAATGCTAATTATAAAATAACAATACAAATGATATTCATTGAATGTCACAGCAACATAGAAACAAAATATAAAGCAATAATATATACAAAAGGTAAGAAGAAGGCTAAATTTACATCACTTTAAATTTCTTATGTTGTTCTAAAGCTGATGCTTAAGCTAAATTATTGTAACTTAACAATACATTTTGATATTTATAAGACAATCAGTAAAGCAACATAAGCAGAAATATCTAAAAAGTTCTCAGAATACATAAAATGGAACACCAAAATATTTGAAT